ATTTTGTGAACTGTTGGACATCGAATTGTGCCTTTTGTAAGCCGCCCTGAGTCCCCCCCCCCCCAGGGGGTTGAGAAGGGCGGGGTAGAAGCACCCCAAACAAACAAACAAACAAACAAATAAATAAATAATTTCCTTTCAGATATTTCAAGATGGCTTTCATGCCACCTCTCAATCATTTCTTCCCCAAGCTAAATACACACCACTCCTCGTAGGGCTTGATTTCCGGAACAGGCTGAAGCCGAGCTGAAGAAAAATCAAATCAATATAAAGCCAGTTAGATTGAAATCAGGCTTAAAAATCAATGGTAAGCCAAGTCCTGCTGCCGGGCATTCAGAGGTTGCCCTCTCCTATCTATCGTCTGCCTGCCTGTCTCTCTGTCTGATATCAATCCAGTCTCCCTCCTGGACTCGTATCAGCACACATGTAAAATCAGTTTAACCTACTTTGAAATCCGAAGTCTCAAACCAATTAAGAAGGAAAAGCAGCCTGAAAGGTTCAAACAGTTTAGAACTATGTGCATGTGTATTTTGGAAGACAACATCTAAGCTTCAAAGGCTGTAATTTTGCGTAACGTCTTGTTTCTGGCCAAATGCCTTGGGGAAGTTGCCGGAGTTTGACGTTGATAGCTATATTATTTCCGAACACGGTGTTCTCATGTCGTTTTCATGGCTGGCTTGCCGGCTCCTATAGATTGGTGCCATCACAAATGTAAAAGGAAATACAAGCATTATAGCTGTAATAGGTTTCAGATTGTTCAGACCTAGGAATCCCTAGAGCAGTGGTTCTCAACCTCCCTAATACAGTTCCTCATGTTGTGGTGACCCCCAAACATTATTTCCATTGCTGCTTCATAACTGTAATTTTGCTACTGTTATGAATTGTAATGTAAATATCTGATATGCAGGGTGTATTTCCATTCACTGGGCCAAATTTGGCACAAATACCCAATATGCCCAAATTTGAATACTGGTAGATTGGGGGGGAGGGGGGATTGATTTTAGTACTTGCTGGGATTTCTAGTTCACCTACAATCAAAGAGCATTCTGAACTCCACCAAAGATGGAATTGAACCAATCTTGGCACACAGAACTCCCATGACCAACAGAAAATACTGAGAGGGATGGTGGGCATTGACCTTGAATTTTGGAGTTGTAGTTCACCTACATCCACATCTGGACCAAACTTGGCACAAATACTCAATATGCTCAAATGTGAACACTGGTGAAGTTTGGGGAAAATAGACCTTGACATTTGGGAGTTGTAGTTGCTGGGATTTATAGTTCACCTACAATCAAAGTATTGAACTCCACCAACAATGGAATTGAACCAAACTTGGCACACAGAACTTCCATGGCCAACAGAAAATACTGGAAGGGTTTGGTGGGCATTGACCTTGAGTTCTGGAGTTATAGTTCACCTACATCTGGATCCGGACCAAACTTGGCACGAATACTCAATATGCCCAAATGTGAACACTGGTGGAGTTTGGGGAAAATACACCTTGACATTTGGGAGTTGTAGTTGCTGGGATTTATAGTTCACCTACAATCAAAGAGCATTCTGAACTCCAACAATGATGGAATTGAACTAAACTAGACACACAGAACTCCCTTGACCAACAGAAAATACTGGAAGAGTTTGGTGGGCATTGATCTTGAATTTTGGAGTTGTAGTTCACCTACATCTAGGTCACCCACATCCAGATCTGGACCAAACTTGGCACAAATCCTCACTATGCCCAAATGTGAACACTAGTGGAGTTTGGGGAAAAATAGACTTTGTTATTTGGGAGTTGTAGTTGCTGGGATTTTTAGTCACCTACAATCAAAGAGCATTCTGAACTCCATTAACGATGGAATTGAACCAAACTTGGCACACAGAACTCCCGTAACCAACAGAAAATACTGAGAGGGTTTGTGGGCATTGACCTTGAGTTTTGAAGTTATAGTTCACCTACATCCAGAGGACATTGTGGACTCAGGCAATAAGTGATCAATCAAAAAGCATTCTGAACTCCATCAGGGATGGAATTGAACCAAACTTGGCACACAGAACTCTCATGACCAACAGGAAATACTGGTGGGCATTGACCTTGAGTTTTGGAGTTGTAGTTCACCTACATCAAGAGGACTTTGGACTCAAACAATGATAGATGTGGGTTGGCATGAATACTCAATATGCCCAAATGTGAACACTGGTGGAATTTTAGGAAAATAGACCTTGATATTTGGGCGTTGTAGTTGCTGGGATTTATAGTTCACCTACATTCAGAGAGCATTGTGAACCCCACCAACAATAGAATTGGACCTAACTTTCAACACAGAACCCAGATGACCAACAGAAAATACTGTGTTGATCCCACCGTAGCCATGTATGCCTTCATTTCCTAGATGTGTATGTGTTTTGAAGACTCAGACAAGATTCACCTGACATTTATTTCACATCACAAGTGCATGTTGTACGTTTGGAATGAAAAGGTCACTGAATCATATTGAATATCATCTTTATTTTTGTAGTTTAGGAATTTACCTCCACTCTTTCCATGCTAGTTCTGCCTCTGGGACCACATTTCCTCTTAAAAGGAGTCATGGCCAAGACACATGGATTTTGGCCCCATCTACACTGCCATTGAACTACATTATATGGCGGCGTAGACTCATCTAATCCAGTTCAATGCAGTTAAACTGCTTCCTGAAATTACAGCCCCTTCTACATTGCCGTAGAAAATCCAGATTTGTTTGAACTGGATTATATGGCAGTGTAGACTCATATAATCCAGTTCAAAACAGATGGTCTAGATTACCTGCTTTGATAATCTGGATTATATGGCAGTGCAGACTTATATAATCCAGTTCAGAGCAGATAATGTGGATTATCTGATTTTATAATCTGGATTATATGGCAGAGTAGAAGGGGCCTGCATAATTTGGCAGTGTAAACTCATATATTGCAGTTTAATGCAGTGAAACAGCTTTCTGATGCCCCATCTACACTGCCATATAAAATCCAGATTTGTTTGAACTGGATTATATGGCAGCGTAGACTCATATAATCCAGTTCAAAGCAGAATAGTCTGGATTATCTGGAGTTCATACAAATCTGAATTTTATATTGTAGTGTAGATGGGGCAGTTTAACGGCATTAATCAGGATTATATGAATCTGCACTGCCATATAATCCAGATTAATCAAAGCAAATACTAGATTATATGAGTCTACACTGCCATATAATCCAGTTCAAACAAATCTGGATTTATATGGCAATGTAGATGGGGGAGTTTAACTGCATTAAACTGGATTATATGAGTCTATACTGCCATATAATCCAGATGGAAATGACAACTGGAACGGAACATAGACTACGAGATTGGTTATGATTCTATGATAAAACGAAGCGGATTATTTTAGTGTAATTAGATGATAGTGTATTAGTGATATGTTGTTTTCTGTCATTGTAGTTTACTGTAAGATATGTTTTTTTACATGTTGTACACCGCCGTGAGTCGCCCTAGGGCTGAGAGCGGCGGTTAATAAATGCAGCAAATAAATAAATAAATAAATAAATAAATAAATAAATTATCAAAGTGTAGATCCAGCCTTGGTTTCTTGAGATATATCTTTATTAGAAATTAGAAGACTGATGCAGGCAAAAGAGAAAATTGAAAGCAAACTCATTCTGGCCCCTTCCTAACAGCCATATAATCTAGATTGCCAAAGACGATAATTCAGTTTATCTGCTTTAAACTGGATTATATAAGTCTACACTGCCATATAATCCAGTTCAAAGCAGGTAATCTGGATTTTATATGGCAGTGTAGCAGGGGACTCTGTAGCAGCAATTGTGCCCAGCATCCAGGGCCTTTGGCGAAAAGGAGCTACACCAGGAGATAACATATTATTATTATTATTATTATTATTATTTCTGGCTTTTTTATCCCGTCTTTCTCAACCCTCAAAAGGGGACTCAGGACGGCTTACATTGGCAACAATTTGATGCCATAAATACAAACAAACAACAATATATCAATAGTTTAAAACAATAAATAAATCATTAGGTTAAAAGCAGTTAAAACATTTGTCAACACCATGAAGCCAGTCCAGTTCAATTCATAATTTAGTCAAAACCATAAACCATTCCAGTTCAGTTCCATAACCAAGTGCTGCTACGTCTGTTGTCCAAAGGCCTGGTCCCAGTACCATGATTTTAGTTTTTTCCTGAAAGACAGGAGGGAAGAAGCTGACTTGATCTTGCTGGGGAGTGAGTTCCACAAGCAAGGGGCCACAACCGGAAAGGCCCTGTCTCTCATCCGTTTTTCCCGGAAAGACAGGAGGGAAGAAACTGACCTGATCTCACTGGAGAGCAAGTTCCATAGGCGGGGGGCCACAGCTGAGAAGGCCCTGTCTCTCGTCCTTGGCAAACGAATTTGCAAAGGAGGTGGAGCCAAGAGCAGGGCCTCCCCGGACGATCTTAAACTGCGGGATGGGACATAGAGGGAGATACGTTCTGACATGTAAGCTGTGTAGGGCTTTGTAGGTCAAGATCGTACTATGAATGTGCGCCGGAAGGGAACATAGCTACCGAATAGTTTGCAAAAGGGAGTTGTTGTTTTGTAAGTTTCCATACTCAGGGTTGTTGTAGGGTTTTTTTCGGGCTATACGGCCATGTTCTAGAAGCATTCTCTCCTGACGTTTCACCTGTATCTATGGCAAGCATCCTCAGAGGTTGAAGTTCACTACCTCTGAGGATGCTTGCCATAGATGCAGGCGAAACGTCAGGAGAGAATGCCTCTAGAACATGGCCATATAGCCCAAAAAAAAAAACCTACAACAACCCAGGTAGGCTTTTGTTTGCTTTCCTATTTTGGGATGTGAGTATCCTCACTTTGGAGAAAGTGTTTTGGACACGAGACTTGATCAAGGCACCTTGATCAAGGGCGACATTTCCATCTTCCACGAACTCATGATGCATTCCATTTCTCCTGTCCCTCCCTATTCCAGAGAGCAGCCCATCTTCACCGCCAGAGCGCATGTCTTCCAAATTGACCCCAGCACCAAGAAGAACTGGGTTCCTGCAAGCAAGCAGGCTGTAACTGTTTCCTACTTCTATGACAGCACGAGAAACAGCTATCGTATTATCAGTGTGGATGGAGCCAAGGTAGGATGTCTGCACGGATAACCTCTGCCGCGCTTGCAGAATCGGCGTCTCGCATTTCTAAAGAAGCTTGCATAAGTGGGTCCTGTGCATTTGGCAGTAGCTTTGCTCATAGCCTATGAATCTTGTTCTAGGGAAATAGGGTTGCATCGCTAATTCTCTGGAAGCGTGCTTGTATTTCATAGAATCATAGAATCATAGAATCAAAGAGTTGGAAGAGACCTCATGGGCCATCCAGTCCAACCCCCTGCCAAGAAGCAGGAATATTGCATTCAAAGCACCCCTGACAGATGGCCATCCAGCCTCTGTTTAAAAGCTTCAAAGAAGGAGCCTCCACCACACTCCGAGGCAGAGAGTTCCACTGCTGAACGGCTCTCACAGTCAGGAAGTTCTTCCTAATGTTCAGATGGAATCTCCTCTCTTGTAGTTTGAAGCCATTGTTCCGCGTCCTAGTCTCCAAGGAAGCAGAAAACAAGCTTGCTCCATCCTCCCTGTGGCTTCCTCTCACATATTTATACATGGCTATCATATCTCCTCTCAGCCTTCTCTTCTTCAGGCTAAACATGCCCAGTCCTTAAGCCGCTCCTCATAGGGCTTGTTCTCCAGACCCTTGATCATTTGTCGCCCTCCTCTGGACACATTCCAGCTTGTCAATATCTCTCTTGAATTGTGGTGCCCAGAATTGGACACAATATTCCAGATGTTAAGAAGGGTCATCCAAAAGAAGAGTAATGGGATTAATAGGCAGTACCAATAAGTGACTCAGGGGAGATTTGTAAGAGCACAAAACAATGGAAATATTATTTATTTATTTTATTTTATTTAGAGGTTTTCTACACCGGCCTTCTCAACCTCGACGAGGGACTCAGGTCGGTTTACAGCACATATAAAGTACAATCATATAAAAGAGCCACAGGTATTAAAATAGTACAACACAGTACATTAAAAGCATCATCATTATCATCACATAATTACAGTTTCCTACGCCAAATCGTCAATCCAGTCATAGTCATAGTCATGTTCGTAGTCACAGTTCATCATAATTCATCACAGGGAAGGTTCTAGGTTCAGTCCTCGAATGCCACATTCCAGAGCCAGGTTTTTAGTGATTTCCTGAACGTCAGGAGGGAGGGGGCAGATCTAACCTCTAGTGGGAGGGAGTTCCAAAGCCGGGGAGCCACCACCGAGAAGGCCCTGTCTCTCGTCCCCACCAACCGTGATTGTGAGGGTGGTGGGACCGAGAGCAGGGCCCCCCCCCCCCCCCCCGGAAGATCTTAATAGCCTCGGTGGTTCATAGGGGAGAATCCGTTCGGATAGGGGAGAATCCTTTCGGATATGTGGTTTAAGGCTGTAGAAAAATAATTATTTACTATTGATTTTTAAAAACAAATCTATTTTCACGGTATCCAGGTTGGGCTATATTTGAGCGTAATATTCATTCGTGGCATCCTACATAAAACCTTTGTTCAAGGACGAGTTGAAAGAAGTTTGTAGTTTAAGTGCATGTGAATTGCATATAATGAACATATCTTCACTCATTATTTATTTATTTACGACATTTATGATAGCCATGTATAAATATGTGAGAGGAAGCCATAGGGAGGAGGAGGGAGCAAGCTTGTTTTCTGCTTCCCTGGAGACTAGGACAGGAACAATGGCTTCAAACTACAAGAAAGGAGATTCCATCTGAACATGAGGAAGAACTTCCTGACTGTGAGAACCGTTCAGCAGTGGAACTCTCTGCCCCGGAGTGTGGTGGAGGCTCCTTCTTTGGAAGCTTTTAAACAGAGGCTGGATGGCCATCTGTCAGGGGTGATTTGAATGCAATATTCCTGCTTCTTGGCAGAATGGGGTTGGACTGGATGGCCCAGGAGGTCTCTTCCAACTCTTTATTCTATGATTCTATGAAAGACTTGAAGTAAGGGGACTCAGAGCAACTAATATGCTTTACTAATAATCTATCTATATAAATAAAAATGTAATGTTCGTTTGTGGGATTAGCATAACTCCAAAACCACTGGACGAATTGACACTAAATTTGGACACAAGACACCTATCAGGCCAACGAGTGACCATCACTCATAAAAACACAACAGAAGGGACTTAAAAATCCAAAAAACCCAAAAAATACATTACAATGCATGTGCAAAACCATATATATATATATATATATATATATATATATATATATATATGCGCAAACACACATATATACACATATATACATACACAAAACACATATACACAGACTGGGCCACAGCAACACTTGGCACGGGACGGCTAGTCTATATAAATAAAAATATAATGTTCGTTTGTGGGATTAACAGAACTCAAAAACCACTGGACGAATTGACACCAAATTTGGACACAAGATACCTACTAACCCAAGGAGTGACCATCACTCAAAAATTGATTTTGTCATTTGGGAGTTGTAGTTGCTGGGATTTATAGTTCATCTACAATCAAAGAGCATTCTGAATCCCACCAATGATGGAATTGAACCAAACTTGGCACACAGTTCTCCCATGACCAACAGAAAATAGTTGTAGTTGCTGGGATTTATAGTTCACCTACAATCAAAAGAGCATTCTGAACTCCACCAATGATGGAATGGAACTAAACGTGGCACACAGTTCTCCCATGACCAACAGAAAATACTGGAAGGGTTTGGTGGGCAGTGTCCTTTGGTTTTGGAGTTGTAGTTCACCTACATCCAGAGATCACTGTGGACTCAAACAATGATGGATCTGCACCAAACCTGGCCACAAGACACCTACTAATCCAAGGAGTGACCATCACTCAAAAAATAGATTTTGTCACTTGGGAGTGGTAGTTGCTGGGATTTATAGTTCACCTACAATCAAAAGAGCATTCTGAACTCCACCCATGATGGAATTGAACCAAATGTGACACACAGAACTCCCATGGCCAACAGAAAACACTAGAAGGATTTGGTGGGCATTGACCTTGACTTTGGGAGTTGTTGTTCACCTACATCCAGAGAGCACTGTGGATTCAAACAATGATGGATCTGGACCAAACTTGGCAGGAATACTCAATATGCCCAAATATGAACACAGATAGAGTTTAGGGGAAATAAACCTTGACATTTGGGAGTTGTAGTTACTGGGATTTACAGTTCACCTACAAACAGAGAGCATTCTGAACCCCATGAACTGTTTACCCACAAGCATAGAGAAATTACATATATTAGAAACCAACACTTTCTCATTACTTTATTTTCTAGATCACCAGACTGGGCCACAGCAACGGCACAGCTAGTATAATATAATATAATATAATATAATATATTGTATATACATATAATATTTATAATATTATAATGTAATGCAATATAATATTAATAATAATAATACAATATCATAATTATACATTTTATATTATATGTAATATTACTAATAAAATTACTATATAATGGTGTAGTACAATATACTAATGTATGGTGCTGATATTGTACTATGCTAATAATTTAATATATTGTATGTATATATATCTTGTAAGCCGCTCTGAGTCCCCTTCGGGGTGAGAATAACCAAATCTGAATAGTCAGATCTGCAAACATGGAGGAGGACACCTATGTGGTCAATGTAAGGGAAGACAATGTGTGTGTAAGTTATTGGGAAGGGAGCAGAGGTTCACAAAAATAACCGTAACGGTGTGTGGAGGAAGCCATAGACCAGACAGCTCATTAAAACCGACCTACATTATTATGCCTTCAGAACAAGAGTGACCTAAAAGAATGCAGATTGGGGAAATTGCAAGCAGTTCTTTTCCCTTTCCCTTTGGGAGAAGTGCTAGGACAGGACTGCCTGAACTTCTTTTTTTATTATTATTCACGTTCTCTTGAATTGACTTGAATAGCGGAGCTCAGTCAGATTAACTTCTGTGACTCCAACAGAGAACAAGTCACTATTTTGATTTCATGCGAGAGTATAAAAGGTATGCTGAGTTTGTAACATCAAGTCCAGGCTTTGTGTTGTTGAAGGTTTTCGTGGCGGGAATTACTGGGCTGCTGTGAGTTTTTTGGGCTGTATGGCCATGTTCCGGTAGCATTCTCTCCTGACGTTTTGCCTGCATCTGTGGCTGGCATACTTAGCGGTTTGTTCAAAAGTCTGTGGGAATGGGGCAAGTGGGGTGTTTACATGTCTGTGGAATGTCTGAAGAGGCCAGCCACAGATGCAGAGTGCACAACAGACAATATCACTCTGCCGGCTGTTGTATTGGATCTCACGTCGGACACTTCCCAAGTGTCTAGGACTGTGTGATGTATAGGCGAATAATGCATTCAGATCCCAATAAGGTGGCCTTCTGCAGCTGACACATGGTAATTTTGTCAGCACCGATTGTGTTTAAGTGCAGGCCAAGGTTTTAGGCACTGCACCCAGTGTGCCCATCGCCACTGGGACCACCTTGACTGCCTTGCACCAAAGTCTTTGCAGTTCGATCTTTAAATCCTCATATCGTGCCAGCTTTTCCAGTTGTTTCTCTTCAATCCTGCTGTCACCTGGTATTGCAACATTGACAATCCATACTTTGTTTCTTAACACATTATTATTATTATTATTATTATTATTATTATTATTATTATTTGTGTCCAATGGTGATACAGGGGCTGTATCTCTGCTTTGAACTACTTCAGGCTTCAGTCTTGCTGTGCTGTAGGCATTTATGGGAAATGTTTCCCATTGGTGCTATTTCCATCTCTCTAGCATGCTGCCCAATTGCATTTTTGTTGCTGTGTTTTGCTTTTCCCTTATTTTGAAAACAATCCGGGGATTTGTGCAGGTGAGAACTGGTGTGTCCCTATCCCCCCAAATTATATGTATCCTACATAAATGCATACTGGCAAAACCTTTTAATAAAGGGTTTTAGCTAGATTGGGGTATCTATCTATCTATCTATCTATCTATCTATCTATCTATCTATCTACTATCTATGCTGGATGTTTTGCCTCCCTCGGCTGGCACAGGATGTTCCTTTTA